AAACTAAATGTTACAGTTAATAGTTTATTTATTCATCATGTGACATAATAATAATAATGATGATGTCGGTAATGGAAAATCAATTTCCGGTAGTTTTTACATTGTATTTTTATTTTATTTTTTTTTCGTTCTGGTGAAAAGAATGGCTTGACAGACGAACACACACACACACACACACACACACACAATGTAAACAACAAGCAAAAAAACCATTAAATAATACGTGAAAAACACGAGCTGATTTGACTCGAAACGAAAAAAAAATCGATTAACATCATTTGAAAAAATAAAAGAATTTTTTTTTTGCAATATAAAAATGTATCGGTTTTCACTTTGTTTTTTGAAGATTTTGGATATTGAATGACAACAAAATTTTGAAAGAAAATCGATCAATATTTGTTTGTTTGTTTGTTTGTTACAGAATCGAATATAAAATATCAACATTTTAGCTTTAGGAAAAGCATTAACTAAAGTTTTTTTTCTTTCCTTTTCCTTTTTTCTAATTGACTAATCATTTATCATTTTGTATTTTGTTTCCCTCCATAGACATTATTATTATGAAAAAAAAACATTTACGAAAAACAAAAAAACAAAACAAAAAAACCAAAACAAAAACCCAAACAGATTAAAAAAATTGATCCAAAATTATTGATATGATTTTTTTTTAAAAAAAAGCAATAATGTCGCATTGTTAATGTCGCATTTATTTTTTCTTCATTTATCATTGATAAATGAAAGATTTCTGGGAACCAAAAGAAAAACATTGACCAAACATACATTGATGATGAATTGATTAATCTCTCTCTCTCTTTTACCCAAAACACTGAACAAATTCGGGATTAAATTTGAAAAAAACAAATTTTGTTTTTCTGGATGTTATTAAAATTGAATTTCTGTTGCTAAGGCGGTGGTCCCACTTGAACAAACTAAAAAAACTAGTTTGCCGGATCATGCTTGCATGATATGTTAAACTCGCCAGTTTGTCAAATCGCAAACTTTTCCCGTTTTCTACTTCCACAGTGCATTTTTCGGTTTTGTCTGTTTGTTAGTTTTTACAAGTGGGACCACGGCCTAAGTGTTTTTTTT